AGCACGCCATATTCATCTTGTTCCATCATTATGTTAATGCTTTTATTGTTGTTGCTTTCTAMTCACCGTTAAAATAAATGGTTAATTATGCATAAATTGGTTTGGTTTCACTAAATAACGGCGCGTACAGCGCATGYCCCATTATTGTTTKTATTATTGTTTGTTGTTGTGCACTTCATCATTGGCTATGCATTGAAGTCGCTCGCCACTGCCATATGTTCGCATTTTCTTCCTGCACACGTTGATATCAAATTCCMCACACACACACACATGCTTGCTTTGGCATTATTTCACTGATAAGCACAAATCAGCGCCGGCAATAAAGTTGGTCCTCCTTTTATCGCAAATCATTTATTTTAATTGTGATTGCGCAAATTATGGGAAAATCCGGCCATAAAGCCATTTGCTACTGTACAAACYTATTTACAAATGCAATTGCGTGCGTGTGTGTATGTGTGTAAAGTAATATTTATACTCGCACAACCCGCTGCGCTGATAGTTCGCTCCATGTGCCGCTACTTTCCCGCATTTGTCATTTCATTTGTTTGTTTGCTGTATGTGCGTGTGCGTGTGTTATTTGGCATGCTCTTAACCTGCTGAGTTGGAGCGTTGTGCGGTGGTTGTCGGTTGTCGGTCGTCGGTAAGTGGATGTTTCGTGTTCTTTTTTCGTCTGCTGTCCATTTGACGTCACTCAGCTCCACAGCGAGTGGGTATGTATGTGTCTTGTATCCCCATTTAGCTGTGTACATAATAAGTCGCGCTGAGTGCGTGTGCTTGTTGGGGGTTTGCTTTTGCTTGCCTCACTATCATAGAAGAATGCCAGCATATGTTTCAATTTGATTGTCAAAGAAGCTGTTGAATGGATTCTATAATCCATTCAATGAAGTATACACAATAAAAATGAATGAGTCGAGATAAAAAAAAAAAAAATCCGAACATACTTTCATTTCACAAACTCAATAAATTACTATTAAAAATAGTAATAAAATCAATAATCAGTGTTATCCATTTTCCAACCGTTTGAGAACAAAAGTTACCTTTGACAATTATCCATAGTTAGGTGATTGTATGATATGGTCTAGTAAAAAGAAATCCATTCTTTTTCTAATAGATGATGTTTGTAGGAATATATATCTCGTGTTTTAAGAGTTCGACCGGGCTGAGCTATGCGTGGCGTTAGAAATATAAGACTTCGTATTAGAAAATTTCTCAGACTGTTATTTGACTCAGTATGTTAGAGTTTGAAGCGAGGTCTCAACACCAGTAAAGAAAAAAAAAAATCGCCATATTTTACAGTTTTTTTTAGTAAAGGCGAAAGGACAACTCAGACGACTGAAAATATGGATAGACTTTATTTTATTCTTGTAAGTGCTAATTATGCGTGCCTCTGGTTTCATCGATTCCGTTCCAGTAATTTTGATGTCAAAGATGCAYCACTATTTGAAGGACTAATTGTCTATTAAATAATGAAAATATTTGAGTCCGACCGTCAACTGAAAATGGTAGTAGTTGAACCAAAGAAAATCATCTGTGGATATGGATTTATACTGTCAACAATCGGACCATCTAAAGCAAGCAGAAACGGCTAGCTTTTGCCAGTAGAAGAGAAATTCTGTTTCATTAGAGCAATGCCAGGTCACAAACATCGAAATGGATCGCCAGCGGCTGTGGGAGCCAAMATTTATATTATGTACTGCATAAAATATTTAAATTTGATGAAAATCTTTATACGAGAACCTTCCTTGAAATTGCTGTTGCAACAGTACAAGAYGTTTGTAATATAGTTTTAGGGTATTCTAATTGAAGTTCGATTGTCTAGTGCAGAAATGAGGCCATTTTTGAGTCAAGTTACCTAGTTCTGGCAATYAATTCTTTAAATTATCAACTTGAATGTGTTTTTTTTTCAATGGTCCCGGGAAAGAAAGGAATAGAGAATGAGATAGTTAGAGATAGATTAAATTTGTTCTCGTGAAATCCAGAATGCTTGGATCTTTATGGTTTGAGTTAAGTACCACAGTGCAGTGTTCTTCGATAATCATTTACAGGGAGTCGATAAACGGATTTTTTAAATTTATGTGAATGATGCTTTGAGAGTTAAACCACCACCGACTGAAGGTGGAATGTCTCGGAAAGATCAGACTCCACCTCATTTTAACTACACCTTTGAGTACACTTGTGCCAACAATTTTTTCAGTCATCRAAAMACTTTTCATAAGTACATAGGGATGGACTTCAGCTCCTTCAGCGAATTTAKCTTTATCACTTCAATCGACTGAAAACGGGTTTCGGGAGCGTCAATTTCAATTTGGCGAACTAGAAAAAATAACAATGTGCCAAATTTGGTGAATTCGAAGATCGGTTGATGATATTCATTGTGTTTTTGGCTTAAAAATMTGGTCACAATCGTGGMTYGATGCGATGGTGTATTATCRACGTGTAAAATACATGAATTGTTTTTCCACAATTCCGGCTGTTTACCAYAAMTGTTCTCACGCMAACRCTTCAATGCGRCCAAATAGWGCTCCTTMTTGACTGTCTGTCTCTACGGAATAAATTCATGATGCACCAAACCACGTAGCAGCCTTACGGCTTTAGCGTGGTTTCTCGATTACTGTGGACTTGTTTGTATGCCAAACTAAAATTAATACCATTTCYCATCGGCAGTTATAATGCTTTCCATGAATGTGGAATCGGAATTCTCACAATSAAGCATGTAAAAAGATACTTGTTTACGGTACTCTTTAAAAAAAAAAAAATCAGATTTATTGGGACGAGTCGAGCAAGAATTCATTTCGTACGCAAAATATCGACTAAAATCATTCCAGAGGACTTCCGAGAGATGTCGAGCTCTCCTGCCATTTATCCAACACTTGCCTGAAGATTTTCAAACACCATATTCTTCACCGTTTTAATATTGAAGAGGTTCTAAAGCACGTTCAGAACGAGGCATGTCTTCAACGATCTCTCGACGTCTTCAACGATCTCTCGACGGGCCTTCCGGAGCGTGGCTCATCTTCGACCACCTCTACACTAGAATGAAAACGTTGAAACCATCGTTGTGCGGTGGAAATGGAAACTGTATCGGGTCCATAAACTGCACAAATTGTATTGGCGGATTGGGATGCATTTTTGCCTTTATCGTAGTAGTACTGTATAATATGCCGTATTTTATCTTAATTTTGCTCCATGTTTGCGACGCTATAAATTACGAACGACTTAAAAGAAACGACAATCAATCAAACACGTGTTAGCGCGTGAAATGAGCTTTCCAAAAAGGTATAGCATGACCACCCGATGCGACGAATAAAACTAGAACTACGCGCTCTCTGCGCCAACTACCGAAAATACCGCAGGACTTTTTTGACAAACTAATATTTTGCATAGTTATTAAGAACAGTCAACTTAGCAAAATACACTTTTTTTAATATTATTTATATCTTTTATATTTTTTTTTAATTTTAGGATTTGAGATATTTTTAAGTATAAAAATATTCCTCACCACCAGAGTTTTTTCGGAGCACCTCCTGGAGATTGGCTACTGGATCCAGAAAGTCCAACCGATTATTACAGTACATTGAATTTTCTAAATGTACATAACTGTGTTTTTTTTTTTTTGTTTGGTTTAATAAATGTCTCTTACAATTTCAAAAGAAGCGGCTTTCTGATTTGCAAGTGAATATAATTCCTTAAACAATAACAAAGGTTTGTGAAGAGTTTTTAAATTACAATTCAATTAAAGTGAGCGCTTAAGCACTCCCTACTTCCAAGTCGCCTTATCCTTTAAAAACTGTAAATTATCAGGAAACTTAATTTTATGTATCATCAGCTTTTAATTAACCGRAAGTTAGTTACTAAAAAATWGTATAAAGCTGAGAGTATTGCTTTGACTTATTGTTAGAAATTAGCCGGAGGAGTTTCTAAGTACATTAAAGCAGCAAAAGTGGCGAGTTTTAACCGGCAGTCTTTGCTTGGRGCGAATTTCGTATTTTCGTCTATGTGTGTGTATGTATTTGTGCGGCTGAGTGTTGTTGTGTGGAAAAGCGCTTTTCTGCCAAATAACTGCACGCGGCAACAAGAGCACGAAGGGAGGAGCACAGCAGTAAAATACACTAAACGCTTGGGGGGCGGGTTGTAGGGGTGTGTGTGCAAAAATTGGTGACGTCTTCGTCAGCAAACTCTCGCGACCGTGCCAAAAGCGTACACCACAAAAAGGCAGCCACACAAGCGTGCTGATAATGAAAACGACGCCAGTCAAGTAAACACATAGATACGAACATGTACATACATGTATATATATATATATATATGCTGACATATGTATGTATGTACATATGTGTGTTTGCATGCAGAAACTACTACATATCTACACATACAAGCGCATGCATATATTATTCATTTACATACATACATACATACACACTTATTTTGGCGACTGTTTATATTTAGTATACACATCGTAGCTGCGTTGTTGCTTTCCATCTGCTTTGGCGCGTTCTGCTACATTCAAGCATACATTTAGGCGCACCACCTACCGCAAGAGGAAATTGCGTGGCCGCGTCTGCACCGCGCGCGCCATTCAAACAACACAACACGCACTGAAGTCATCCAAAAGCAATGCTAGTGGTGAGCGCGGTGCGCGGTGCGTGGGGCGGCAGCGGGTGTTAAGCTGCTGAGCAGATGATTGCCCGTCAATGCTGTGAATGAAGTCCACCAACCAAACAACACGAAGCTGCACGGCACAACAAGTGGGGTTGAATGAGCATTTACACACACACACACACACAAACAGCTTTATGCGTGTCGAGCAGCACGACCAGCCGGTTTGATGGGCGGACGCAGCAGGCGCGCTGTTATATCGCGAGCTTTCATAAGCTTTTKCTGCTGYATTTGCAGACCTGACGCTTCGTCTGCTTTACAGCTGCTGCTCCGACTGTTTGGTATTCATTATGGCGTCGCTTTAGCAAATGCTGAACAGTTTCGTTCGGTTAGTGTAGCAGTTAAGTTCGTATAAGCGGCTAAAAACGGCAYTACACACTTTACCGTCTTGTGWATTGAGTATTACACAGTGTGAGCAYAAATTAACTGCCAAAAACATATATTGTGCAAATTGTAGTGAATTACCAGCCGTAATTTGTTGTCAGCTTAAGTACGAAAAGTGTTTGWGGAGAATAGCAAACATTTGCAGCATACTTTTCGGCGTGTAAGCATTTTGTGCATTACCGAGCATCAGCTGTGTTTGCGTCGAGTGGTTGAAAGAGTTTTGCTCCAGTGTACATATGGGCTSCAGCTAAATTTGGCAAGTGTCAAAAAAACGTTTGGTGTAAATTCGGGCGCAGTGTTGCCTACTCGCGAGTGTGAAGTGCGAAATTGCCCGTGGTGAAAGGAAATCAGTCTGAGCGCACAATTTACGAGCAGCGGACGCAAGGAATTCAGCAAAGAATAATAAAAACAAAATARWAATTAAATTCAGTGATTTCAACGACGTCACCCAAACGATAACGGTAAAACGGGTAAAGAGCAAGGGCAACCGCGCAATAATAAGTGAAATAGTGAGTTTTTCTACGCACGCAGCAGTAACAGCAGAAGCAGCGGTGACAAGCGCTGCAAGCGTATAAATCGGGGTTTCGACAAGTGTGCAATGGTCTTTGCTGCATGGGGCAATCCTTCGGGCCTGCTCATATTCCTGGTATGCGCGCTGGTCGTGGTGTTCRTCACTAATGTGCCCAGCGCTGTGGCCAAAGGCGGAAACGCTGCTCCGGCGGCGCTTAATGGCAGGAACGACGTATTCACCAGCTCGTTCCTGGTGCGCTTTAGGCGCAGCGTCGACAATGACCTAGCAGGCGAAGTGGCAGCGCGTTACGGATTCGATAACATTGGACCAGTAAGTACCCAATAGAGTGCRGTAAGCAAATGCATTATTTTCATATGAGCWCTTTTGCTTGGCAAATCGATTAGAAGAAGCAAGTGCGAAGGAAATTTCTGCTGTGAAAAAAGTTGTGTTGCAACTTTCAAAGATAAAATGTGCATTCAAGCGTTCAAATCRCTTGCCACATACATATGCGTGTGTTATGTTTGTGTTTGGTGTAGCTCTAACTTGTCTTGTCCCTTGCCTGTGGGAAAAATCAATTTGGTTCCACACACTTGCAACATGACAACGTCACATTTAACCCTTGAAATGCCGGACAACACAACGACGACACAGCGAATGGAAGCCAAAAAGACAAATAAAAGAAAACAACACGCAGAAAACAAATAAGCAACGAAAAAGCGTAGAAAAAAATTAACAAAGTTCAAAAGCGTCAAGTACTTCACTTCCCTCTCAGTGCGATTGAAGCGGAGACTACATGAAACCACACTTACATAGTTATAAATATATAGATATAATATGTGTGTGTGTGTATGTGTGTGTGTGTGCGTGCGTGCAGAACCACATTGCGGTAGACATATACCGTTATGTATAAATATATATATATATGTACTTCCATATATGTCTACTCGAAACTTTGTACTTTGCCTTCATACGTGTGTGTKTGGCTCATAGGAGCAGGGGGGCACGTGCGTGGTGTTGGTTGGTGTATTTTTGTGATTTTCATCGCTTTCACAGCGTTGCTGAATTGGTTTTGCATTTAAATTGCCTTGTGCGTGTGCAATGAATTGCGGAGCACACTTTTCGGCAGTTATTCTTTTAATAAGACAACAACAGAGCTGAAAGAAAAATGCCTGCAAACTTTTACGCTCCAACGTACGAGCCACTTGTGTGTTGTTTGTGTTTTTGTGTTTTTGTGCCTAAGCCAAAATCTTTTCTATAAGCCACAAAGTCAGCTCTCTAGCCACATTGCTCAAACATTCGTAATTTTTATGCAGTTTCATTGAAGTCGAGATGAAAAGCAAATTTCACGAATATTATGAATATGAATGGAATTATTTGAAAATATCAAAAACCCACGCAAATCTGTCTTTTTGTGCAAAAAAGTTCCATTTTTATTATTTTTCAACAGAATTGATGGTGAGTGAGAAATATGCATGTATAGTATACGTATGTTTGTGTTAGTAACGTATGATYCATAGTGTACGTAGTAGTCTAAACGCCTACTCAGATTTGGTTGCAACACTTTGTTTTGCGAAAAGATTGTTAAAGTTTCTATTATGAAAGCATGCTTTAAAGTCCTGAGTGGTAAAAGTGAGAAACATTCTAAAACAGCATATAACAGCGGTTCCTTTTTGCTCTAGGTTTCTTAAAAATAGATATTTGGTAAAAATACATTTCATGAATATGCTAGTCGAAAAAGTCTTTTCATATTTTTTGAATCAAACTTCAACTATTTTTTTTATATTTATAATAATAAATAAAGAAACAAATATGTACCATTTTGGTCGACCACTTTTTTGCCCTTTCTTCGCTAGAGACATTATTCCATCAGTGTAAAGCTTTCATCAGTGTAAATCTAAATTTCGAAATTTCCAGAACAGAAGCCAGCAAACCATTGTTGTGCTACACGAACTGACACAGAATCCTCAACGTAAACTTTACAAATTTCATACTTCCCTTTTTTAAAGAAAAATTTGAAAACATACCGTATTTCTTCATTATTTTCACTCATTATTGAATACCTGTAACTTTTTTTCAACTTCTCCGAAATTAATTTTTTTTGCTAAACGAAGCTTTAAATCTCACCTTTCCAACACTATATGTTATGACGCAACGTGATTGGTAGCACTGGAGATATACGACTGCAACCATATCTATTGACAAAATACGAAACGACTTYTTCGACTACCAAATATTTCCTATAAAAACTCATAATAGGCCCGACAARAATGCAAATTAGCGTTTGCGACGGTTAAACGCTTTTGAACAAATTTTTTCTTTATTTTTTTTTAGATTTTGCCACAATTGAGATTCGAACCTGATAATTTATTTTTCATATAAAATTTGCCAGTGTTTTCCATGTAAGCCGATAATTTTTGTATTAAGTGTCTGATCAATCCATCCAGTTTGGTAGTTTTCTTGCTTGCACAGTGCACAGTTGTATACGATAAGTGTTCCATAAATAGCAGAAACTTTCGTGATTTGAAAATAATCTTTTTTCTTTCGTCTATATTAATATTGTCGCCTTCGAACTCGATATTATGCACCTGTACCCGCCTTTTTTCCAATCGTCGAAGCACCTATGATGCTCGATTTATTGTATAGCCTTTAGTTCTTTCATCTCTTTCACTTTATTTTTGTAATTTGTAWAAAGTCACCCGGAATATGGAGACTGGAGAATCATTACAGTATTGCTTTTGACCAAAAATTCTCAAACAAGCAACGAAGAGTAAGCTTTTAAAAATAAAAATTTTCAAGCCTATAAAAACCTTATCGGTTGCTATGTGCAAAGTAAGCAATGAATACAACTGAAATTTCAATCATAATTTAGGGGCATGTACTATTGTGATCAATTGAAAGGTGAATTTTGTCCATTTCATCTCCTTCAAAGTAGTTCCCTGCCGYTGCAATACACTTATGCCAACGAATCTTCCAGTCATCATAGCACTTGGAAAACTCCTGAATCGTGATGGCCATCGGAGCCTTCTTCGATTCAGCTTTTATATCCTCAATTGAGTCAAAACGGTGCCCACTCCACCACTCCGATG